TGATGTTCTAAAATTCTTTTAATCTGTTTACTGGTTTAACACTTCAGCTTTAATGTCATCCATATGTACATATATGGCTCTGACGGAATTGTTTGCTTAGATTCAAAAATTAATTTTTAAGCTAATTTATCATATCTTTCTCATTTTATTAGAATCCATAAAACGTAAAAGCGTTGAGAGAAAGTAAGTGACGTTATACACAACTTAACTTTCTAATTTTTTTATTAGATAATATGTATATTTGAATTTTGTAAAATCTTTGAGGTTGTGTGGCGTGGCGATCAAAGTGTTAAATAGCACCTTAGTCTTTGTAAAAAATGCATAAGATCCGTAAGAAAATAGATAAAACTGCATGTGCTACATACGAATACATACCTTTTTATATGCATTCCATATCCAAGGATAAATTTTTCGTCCGAATAACATTTTGGAGGATTCGGTGTCGCTGTGTTTCGCGTATAAATATTCGCCCAAAATCATCTGTAACAGAATTTATAAATTCACTTAATTAACAATTTTAATTGACATTATCGATTCATTCGATATTTTACAATGATATATTGCAAATATCAGCATTGAATTTTTAATTTCCAATAAGCAGCGATCGATACATCTGAAGTTCGTTTCCTAGTACCGTATATCACCTCATCAATCATTACTTGATCTTGACTTCCGATGAATAAATATTTGAACATGATCAGTACACAGTCGAATCTCCATTATCCAGCTCTCTATCATCAGAATTCCCTATTGTACAAATATGTTTCACGAGTAATTAGATTAATCTAAGTCAACCCACGTGCACAACGATTTACTGATTAAAACAGACGAAGACGTACAAATTCAAAAAGACGAAGCCTGGCATTGTAACTGAATCAATGTTCTATTATCCGAACATTCGTGCCACTCTAGTTAGCCTGGATAATCGAGATTCCACTGTACAGTAATTTCTCCCTAATTCGTGTTCAGATTGCGCATAAAAATGGACAATTTGGGAAGATGAGATACGATTATTCGAGCCTTGCGTCTCGTTTTTGTAGTTATTGACAGTCAGTAAGGTTATTTAAGCCGCAAGGTTATTTAATTAAGACTGTTTAACAAAGTTATTTATAATCGCATCTCCTCTTCCCAAATTGTTCATTTTTGCGCGCAATCTGAGCGCAAATTAGGGAGAAATTACTGTACTTACAAAAGGAACAATGTAGATAGAAGAGATATATTTGCACAATATTAACCCTTTGCACTCGAGGGCTCCGGAGCGGAGCCATTTAAAATTTGTCTTCAAACTCGAGGGCTCCGCTACGGAGACAATGCAAATAATTTTCAGTTTTTAACATAAGAACAAAAACAAATCGTAAAAATTAGTTATAGGATGTTTCGCTGTTGGTGACAAATGACGTTTGTATCCATAAACAATTAAAAAAATAATAACATACAACGATGACTTTTCTTTTAATGCTTATATCATGAACTTACATGTGAATATGATCTTTTCACTAAAATGGCTTCGAGTTGCTGGTAATATGACT